TTAATCAGTTTAGGGAAGTTCCCTTCTATTCTTAGGTAGGACACCTAGGTAGGATTTGACTTTTCAGCCCCCTTCTAGGGCGGTAATAGGTGTCCCTTTCAGGATAGGCACTTAATGGACAGTTCGAGGTCCCCTGATTCCTATGTTTTCCCTCTGGCAACACGACAGCTGGTGGCTATGTGATCACTTGAGTTGCTGAGTGACCATGAGAAGTCAGCACTCGTGCTAACCCACAAGGGAAATTCTACACAAATAAGAAATAACTCTTTGGTGCTTTCAGCCATCGGTTTATTCACTTAGTGTTTTAGGGTTCTTCCTAAAAGCAGCATAAGCTATTTGATATTGAATGACATTCTTAGTGTGCAAAGTTTCCTTCATGAATGGAATATAATGTTTTTTGAAACATATTTTAAAAAGTTAATTAAAGGTTCATATTTGGTGCTTCTCCACTTGTCTTAAGTTAGTTAATTTTATTGATACATTTGAGATGGAGTCTCGCTTTGTCACCCAGGCTGGAGTGCAGTGGTGCAATCACAGCTCACTGCAATCTCTGCCTCCCAGGTTCCAGCAATTCTCCTGCCTCAGCCTCCCAAGTAGCTAGGATGACAGGTGCACACCACCACGCCCAGCTCATTTTTGTATTTTTACTGGAGAAAGGGTTACACCATGTTGGCCAGGCTGGTCTCGAACTCCTGACCTCAGGTGATCTGCCTACCTCAGCCTCCCAAAGTGCTGGGATTACAGGTGTGAGCCACTGCACCTGACCTTTATCGATACATTTTCTAATCTTGAAACATCCTTTGTTTTTTTGGGCTAAATCATGGCATATCAAATACATTCGTTAGATTCAATTTGCTAATAAGACATTCAGATCTTTGTGTATTGGTTCTGAAAGCTGGTGGCTATCCTCTTCCTTGCCCTGCGTCTTCCTTGTCCAGCTTTGTTATCAGGGCAGCTGAGCAGCCCCTCATCTTCTTCTATGCGCCGGAGTGTACTGCCTGAGCCAGGAGCTATCAGATAAAGGTTTTTTTTTTTTTTTTTTTTTTTTTTTAGACAGAGTTTCGCTCTCGTTACCCAGGCTGGAGTGCAATGGCGCAATCTCGGCTCACCGCAACCTCCGCCTCCTGGGTTCAGGCAATTCTCCTGCCTCAGCCTCCTGAGTCGCTGGGATTACAGGCACGCGCCACCATGCCCAGCTAATTTTTTGTATTTTTAGTAGAGACGGGGTTTCACCATGTTGACCAGGATGGTCTTGATCTCTTGACCTCGTGATCCACCCGCCTCGGCCTCCCAAAGTGCTGGGATTACAGGTGTGAGCCACCGCACCTGGCCCCTCAGATAAAGGTTTTTTATTCTCATCCACAGGCAGAAGATCAGGAACTATTCTGGTTTTTTCTTTTTTTTCTATGATGATTGTTCTAAGTTTTCTTATACGTTTTGAGCCAATATTGGTAATTGATATTTTACCAGAAATGTATCCATGCCATCTATATTTTGAAAATTTAAAGTTGTACATGTCACTGTTATTGACAAATCTATTTCTGTTGATGGATATTCTTTTTCCTTTTGTGACGTTCAAAATATTTTATAATGAAAAACGAGTTCCTTTCCCACATCTGACCTCTTTTGTTGAGGTCCTCAGTCCAGGGGAGATCTCTCTGTTTTACATTAGCCCAGAAGAGATCAATGGCATGTGTGAGCAGATGAAGACGGACAGCAAAGTTCTTTCTGGTAGCAACTTCCCTTATGCTCCTGAGCGATGCCCGGAGGTCATGGGGTTTGCATTTTTTAAATACTGCAGAATTTGATTTGTAAGTAACTCATTTAAATTTTTATATCAATATTCATTCAATGCATGGGTCTGTGATTTCTCATATTTTGTGCTTTGTGTGGCTTGGACCTCCAACATGAAAGGCAAGCTCTGGCCACGTCAGCAGCATGCTTATCTAGTTCCTGAAAATTCTGAAGCCCCTGCGATGTGTCTTCATCCCCAAATATGATGGGACCTACAACGAAGAAACCATGAACTCAGCTCCCTCAGCCCCCAGTCCCCTTGCCCCCAGGCCCTGAGCCCCCGAGCCGAGGAGCCACCCAATCCCTGAGACCCTCAGCCTCTGAGTCCCCCAACCCCTGAGCTCCCAACCTGAGTCCCCCAGCCTCTGAGCCTCCTAGCCCCTGAGTCCTCCAGCCTCTAAGCCCCTCAGCCCCTGAGTCCTCCAGCCTCTGAGCCCCCCAGTCCCTGAGACCCCCAGCCTCTAAGCCCCCCAACCTCCAAGTTTCCCAGCCCCCAAGTCCCCCAAACCCCAGCCTGCCCTCAGCTGCATCCACACGCACCAGTCAGGATAGAGTCAGGGGAGCAGGTTCACTAGTTTATTTATTGCTCAAAAGGGATGGCTGAGAACAGAGACCCCAGGCTGAGGCTGGGAAGTCCCAGGGTCCCAGGAAATTCTCCTTGGTCTTCAGCCTCATGGTCCCTCTGGAGGGGTGATGTCTTCTTCCTTTGCACAGGGGTCGAGGCTCCGGGACCTGATGTGTACAAAGAGGGGTCCCCTGTGACCCTAGGATGCTACAGGGTATGGGGCAGCCCCTATTAGCTGGGGGTGAGGGACCCCTGCTTGTGTGAGGGGAACCCCTACCTCACCCCCTGCCTTCCATTCCTGTGAGGGGCTGTCGGGACATCAACCCAGGCCCACCCTCCCCTGAGACCCCCTCCCTCACTTACCCCCACCCTGGAGGAAAGGGGCCCAGCCTGTGCTCAGGACACAGGAAATGGCATCTGGAGAGGCCAAGCCTAGAGACTCGGGCATGTGGCCAGCTGGGTTTTTTCAGAGACCCCAGGATTCCAGAGTCACTTGCTCAGGGTCAGCCCTGGGGAACGGACACAGTGGGGTCTGTCCCAGGGTCAGCCTCAGGCCGTGGGCAGGGCTGGTATATTACCCAGGAGGCAGGACCAGGTGGGAGCTCTCTTAGACACGGCACCGCTCTGCGGGAGGAGAGACGGCAGTGGGGGCGTCAGCGGGAGGGAGACAGCTGGGGACACAGCAGCCCCAGGGCCAGAGGTTGTGGGGTGACAGGAGGGGATGGGAGCGCACCTCAGGGTGCCTCTGCACCCCCAGGGGAGGCATGGGGAGAACTGCGGTGGGGCCATTGAGGAGGGAGGGGAGCTGCCCTGAGTGCTACAGAGCCCTCGGGGGGCTTGGGCTAGGACAGCAGCGCCTCTCCAACAGAGGCTGGGCCTGTCCTGGGCGGAGCTCACCGTCTGCCTGGGTCACGTCCAGGAAGATCTGCATGTGCACCGGCAGGGTCTTGAGAAAGTGGATGAATTCCTCCATGACCTTGTCGTCCGCCTCCGGGGTCCTGGCTGTGGGGAGGCTGGCTCAGTCCTGGACCCTGCCCCAGGGGAAGGAGGGCGGGGAAGGAGGCCCCAGTGCTCTGAGGTCGGGAGAGTTTGGTCTGGAGTAGGTCCTCAGACTGGGCTCCCGGGCTTTGACCACCTGGCCTGCAGGTTCCCTGTCCCCAGGCCCTGCTCCTTGGCTGGGGTGGCTCCTCCTCTGTGCTAGGCAGCGCTGGGGCCTGCACAGCTCAGGACGGTGTCCACAGGGTCAAGGAGTAGAGCACAGCGCCCGCCTCCCCCACAGAGCCGGCCTCACCCCCCACGGCCCAGGATGGCTGATTTATAGAGCAGGGGGCATCTCTGCAGCCCAAAGCCATTGGCCCATTCAGGGACCCAGGGACCTCCCAGCAGCACTGCTGGTGTGACATGAAAAATGTCACCTTACATTTGTTTTCCAGATGTGATTGTTTGAAAGACATTTTAGTATCTGACTTCTTATTTGGCAAAGTAATTGCAAATCTCCACCAAGGAAGGCCATTGGGTTTAGAGGCACCTGCTGACCACACGGAGAGGTCTAACACCTGCCCTTGCGGCCGCCCTGCAGGGACACCTCCTTCCCGGTGTGTCCTGCCGTCTTCGGGGTCTGTGTCTGTCCCCAGGTCTCTGTGTGCAGTGCCACCCTTGTTTCTCAGGTGACACTAGGACTCCTCGACCCTCCCCCTTCTTCCACAGGGCTCCTGGGCTCCTAGGGAAGGCAATCCCAGGGGCTAGGGCAGGGCCGGGGCGACGGCTCCCTTGGGGGCCCGCCTTCCATTCCCGTGAGGAGTGGTCGGGACGTCTCATTCTGTGTCCATTTCCCACAGAAACCCCAGGGACTGAGCCGCGCACCCAGGTACTGGCAGGCCAGGTTCTGCTGGGAGGTGCTCTCCAGACAGATGAACAGGTACTTGCTATAGTCGGTGTTGAACAGGACGATCTTGTTCTCATCCAGGTCTAGAAGAGAACAAGACAGGAGCAGAAATGAATTCTGGGCACCTCGCCGCAGCGGGAGGGCTGCTGGTCGGTCTCCTGTGGTTCAGCCGGACTTCCCGTGAGGGACGCGTCCTTCGGGCCGGTCTTCCCTGTACCTGGCGTGGTGTGACCTCCCCTCAGGGAGCTCCCAGCATAGCTCACAGGTAACGCCAAGGCGCAAACGGGGCCAGGAGAGGCCTGGCTGTTGACTGTGACCCTCCACGGAGACGCCCACTGTCCCACACTGTCCCCTGGCTCGGGATTCCCCCCTCATCATCAGGCCTGGGCAAGCCACTCCCAACGCCGTGCCCCAGTGAGGCTAAGAAACGGGGTCTCCACTCGGATGGGTGAGACCGACACCAAGCTGTGGCAGCGAAGGCGGGTCCGGAGAGACTCCCACATGCCACAGCGGCGGGGAAGCCGAGACCCTCGGGCAGGGCGAGCGAGGTGGGCTCCGCCCACTCAGCCCAGTGACACCACCAGGCACAGCTGTGTCACCAGGGTGGCTTCTGTGGGAAATGCTGATGTCCCTGCCCAGCCGTAAGCAGGGGTGCCAGAGACCCCGGGCAGGTGCCCTAGCATGGGCGTCCTTCCAAGGTGCCTCCGTGGCTGCAGTGTGCAGCTGTGGAGGGAAGTCACACGGAGGGGACCGTGGGGGCACTGGAAGGTAGGATGTAGCTCCTGGGGAGCTCCCTGCTCCAGGCTGGGGAGGGGAGGCCGGGGAGAAATAGCCCTCATGGCTCCCTGCAGTCTTGCGTGTAGCGATGAACGAACGCACGCAGAGTCAAGGAGATGAGTCAGGTCCGGTGGCCACAGGGACCCTGACTCTCAGCCGTTGGCCGGGGGGGTGCAGTCAGGAGCCGGGGAGGGTACAGGGAGGGAGGGAACAGGCTGGCGGCTGAGGGGCACCGCTGGCTGAGGGGCACCGATGGCTGAGGGGCGCCGCTGGCTAAGGGGCACAGCTGCTGCCTGAGCTCAGCCCAAGTGGCCCAGTGTCACTGCAGGGAGTTTGACCAGCCCAGAGGGGACCTGGAGGCGGTGCTGCTCCCTGCCACTGCCGTCACCTTCGTCATCAGCCTGTGCCTTAGCACAGCCAGGCCAGAGGCCCAGCCCCCACCCATCCCTCGGGAAGCTGGACGGGGTCCCCGAGCTGCCTGGGCCGTGGCTGGCACTTACAGTTCATCTTGAACTCGATGGGGTTCTCAGTCTTCTCTGCGACGATTTTCTTCTCAACACACCGGTCGTTTTCCCTGAAAGGGCATCGTTTCTGTTAGCTATGTGCATAGATGCTACGGGGCCACACGCCAGCCCTGGAGAGGCGGGCAAGGGCCAGGCGCTGCGGACTGAGGAGAGAAGGGCTTCCGGGCCACGAGTGCTGGTCATAGGACAAACGCGGCCCTCAGGGAACCCACAGCATGTGGCCGGGGACCCAGCTGGAGAGGCCAGAGGGGACCAGTGAAGTCAGGGGCCATGACCATGGGCGGCAGTGGTCCTGGGGTTCACGTCCTCGTCTCCTGCCCACCCCTCGTTCCGGGGCAGGCAGTCATCACAGGGACTGCCCGGGTCCCGGAGACCACAGACCGCAGCAGCCCCAGCCCGGCCTCCACACCAGCCTTCTCCGAAGACGGCCTGGGCTGCGTGCTGTGGTCAGCTGCTGACCCAAGGCCCTTGGGCGGGGACTCTGCGGGGACAGGCAACCTCCCAAGCTTCTTTCCCCACCCTACTTGGCACCACGAGGGTCCACACTGAAGCCCCTGGGCCGTCAGGAAATGCCTGGGGCTGGTCCCAGCTCTGCCCACCCCACACAGTCCCCACTACGGAGGGAGGGGGAGCCCCCGCCGGCCCAGCCCCGAAGATGCGGAACCCACCATTTGCGCAGGCTGATCTCCAGGTTGCCCTCGGGGGTGGGCTGCAGCGAGGTGATGTAGACCCTCAGGGGGGCCTCCTTGGTCTCCAGGAGGGAGAAGTCGCTGGCCCCCATGGCCATGGAGTGCCAGGTCCCTGCCAACTGAGGGGCTTTGAGCTGCACAGGGGACCCTGGCCACCATGGCCCCCACTGTGCCCTGGGCAGGTGAGGCTGAGTCCCGCCTGTCCCCAGCCCCCTTGGGTTGGTGCAGGAGTTGGGCTGAGCTCCTCAGGCACCTATGTGGCCTGATGCCATGGGTGGGGGCCTCCCCCAGCCCTGGACCCCACTCTGCTGCTCCAGGAATGTTCCAGCTAAACTCACAGGAGCCCAAAAAAGCACCTGGCTGAGCCCATGACCTGAGTGAGGGGAATATTTGGATCCTGGGGAGCCATGTGGTTGGGACAGGAGGAAGGGTGGGGGGCAGAGAGGCCCTGCTGGGGCTGAACTGTGCCCCCCAGCAGCACCTGACTGCAGCACCTCTAAACATGACCTAGGGTGGTTAAGGAAGGAGGAAGCTGGAGTGAGGCCGCTGTGGGCCCTGACCCAATCTGACGGGCATCTTTGCGGGGGAGGTTAGGAACGGACCCCCAGAGGGGCGGCCCTGTGAGGACACAGCGGGAAGACAGCGTCTACAAGGCAAGGAGAGGAGCCTGGGGGCTCCGGCCCTGCCGACACCTTGATCCCGAACCTCCAGCCCCCAGGACGGCGAGCATCAGCCCCCCTGTTTGGGCTGCAGCCTGCAGGAGGCCAGCCCTGCACCACTCACAGGAGCCCTGACATCACAGCCTCCTCCGTCCACCCTCCGCGTCCTGGATCCTGGCTTCCCACCCTCCCGCGGTCCCCACCCACCCCAGGCCTCCCCGCCTCAAACCTTTGGGACCTCCACATCCCGCATGGCCTGGGGACTGTCGATGGCCCCGACGGCACAGACGAGGGCGACGGCCAGGGTGAGCAGGAGGCAGTTCATGGCTGCGGCTGTGGGTGGCTCTGAGCTCTGGAGCGAGAGGGAGGCTGAGGCAGTGGGCTCGGGGCCTTATATAGGAGGAGGGCAGGGGAGGGCCCCCACGTGGCTTGGCCATGAGGCTCCTTGAATCCATGACTCATCCTCGGCCTGTGGGCAGCTTCCTCCACTGGGACAATGGGAGGCTCTTCCCTGCGTCCTCCTCTGGGTCTGGGACCCACAGTTCCTGGCAGGGCCTCAGGCGGGAGGGTCCGGGCTGGCAGCCAGTGGCAGGAGCACCTCCTGGGTCGGGGTTCTTGGAAAATGGTGGATTGGAGGCCAGCACTGAGGACAGCTGTGCCCGCGGGCGGTGGTAGGGCCAGTGGGACAAGCAGTGGGCCCAAGAGCCCCATGGCAACCCCAGGATGCCACAGACATCATGCAGGTGAGTGGCTGTCTGCCCCACAAAGGGGCCGTAAGGCTGCACCCTTAACACTCCCGGCTGGGGCTCTTCCCACAGGTGCCCATCCACACAGGGGCTGCCCGCGGGGCTCGGCTGGGCAAGGCCTCTGTGAAAGGCTCCGCCGTTTCCTGATCTCCATCGTGTTTCTGTTTTCCTCTCCTGTCTTGGAGAGCAGCTCCTCCAGAATCCTCAGCCGCTGCGTTGCAGGGACAGTGTCTCCTTCCCTGCTCAGTGGCCTCCACCTGGGACGGGCACAGCTGGAGCCAGGCTGAGGGAGGCACTGAAGACCGCAGTGTGAGGCGCTCTTGGCTTCAAGTTTTTGCAGTGAAGTGCAAGCAACAACAGTGACGGTGACCCAGCGGTGTCGGTGACCCAGCGGTGGTGGTGCTCCAAACCAGGGTGCCCAATGGCCCGGCCTGTGGCTCCGGCCCTGGGTGAGGCACACGGCAGGGGCAGTGTGGGTAGCAGGCCCAGCGTGCTCCGCGTGGATGGCGTGGTGGGTCACGGCTGCAGCGCCGGAATTTTAAGTCTTCTTAAAATTCTGGTTCCAGGCGCTTCTGTACCACTTAGCTTTGCAGCCAGGGCCGTCAGGAGCTCAGGAGCGCAGGCGAGCTGGAGGATGTGTCCCTGTTAGGTTTGGGAGGATGAAGCAAGCTGTAGAGCAACGTGTCTTTTGCAATTCCATGTGTGCAAACCAACACCCACAGGAGAGTGTGTGTGTGTGCCCATGTGTGTATGTGTGTGTGCCCGTGTGTGTACCTGTGTGTGGGCCTGTTTGTGTACCTGTGTGTGTGTTCCCACGTGTGTACCCGTGTGTGTGTGCCCATGTGTGTACCTGTGTGTGTGTGTTCCCATGTGTGTACCTGTGTGTGTGTGGGCCTGTGTGTGTACCTGTGTGTGTGTGTGCTCCCATGTGTGTACCTGTGTGTGTGTGGGCCTGTTTGTGTACCTGTGTGTGTGTTCCCATGTGTGTACCTATGTGTGTGTGTTCCCATGTGTGTACCTATGTGTGTGTGGGCCCGTGTGTGTACCTGTGTGTGTGTGTGTGCCTGTGTGTGCCTGTTTGTGTACCTGTATGTGTGTTCCCATGTGTGTACCTGTGTGTGTGTGTTCCCACGTGTGTACCTGTGTGTGTGGGGGCCTGTGTGTGTTCTCATGTGTGTACCTGTGTNTGTGTGTTCCCATGTGTGTACCTGTGTGTGTGTGTTCCCACGTGTGTACCTGTGTGTGTGGGGGCCTGTGTGTGTTCTCATGTGTGTACCTGTGTGTGTGTTCCCATGTGTGTACCTGTGTGTGTGTGTGGGCCTGTGTGTGTACCTGTGTGTGTGTTCCCATGTGTGTACCTGTGTGTGTGTGGGCCTGTGTGTGTACCTGTGTGTATGTTCCCATGTGTGTACCTGCGTGTGTGTTCCTATGTGTGTACATGTGTGTGTGCTCATGTGTGTACCTGTGTATGTGTGTGCCTGTGTGTGTACCTATGTGTGTGTACCTGTGTGTGCCCATGTGTGCACCTGTGTGTGTGGGGGGGCCCATGTGTGTACGTGTGTGTGTGTCCATGTTTTGCTCTGTGTGTGTGCCCATGTGTGTACCTGTGTGTATGCCCACGCGTAACTGTGTGTGTGCCCATGTATGGGAACCTGTGTGTGTGTGCATGTGCGTGTGCCCAGGTGCATGTGCCCATGTGCATGTGCCTGTGTGCTACTGTGTGTGCCTGTGTGCAGGTGTGCGTGTCTGTGGGCATGTGCCTGTGTACGTATGCCCGTGTGGTGCCTGTGTGTGTGCCCATGTGCATGGGCCTGTGTGCTAGTATGCATGTGCTTGTGTGCATGTGCCTGTGTGTATGCCTGTGCACCTGTGTGCATATGCCTGTGTGCGTGTGCCCATGTGCCTTTGTGTGTGTGCCTGTGTGCTTGTGTGCCTCCGTGTGTGCCTGTGTGCACATGTGCCCATGTGCCCGTTTGCGTGTGTGTGTGCCTGTGTGCCTGTGCCTGTGTGCATGTGTGTGTGTGCCTGTGTGCATGTCTGTGTGTGTGCCTGTGTGCATGTGTACATGTGCCCGTATGTGTGTGTGTGCCTGTGCCTGTGTGCATGTGTACGTGTGCCCGTGTGCGTGTGTGTGCCTGTGTGCCTGTGCCTGTGTGCATGTCTGTGTGTGTGCCTGTGTGCATGTGTACGTGTGCCCATGTGCGTGTGTGTGCCTGTGTGTAGCAGGCACAATCCCTGGAGCTTTCCATTCCAAACAATGGACTTGCTCATCTCTGGGGAGGGCTGACATTGGGGTGGGGGTTGGGAGCAAGCAGGGTGCAGGCAGCCACCTCCCATGTGTCCTAAGAGGGGAGCAGCCTCCTCTCCAGGGGTGGGAGCCTTGGGGGATCTGCCCTGTCCCTGCCCAGGGTCATGTATCGTCTTTCCGGGTGGCCTGCAGCCTGCGCTTGGGGCCCTGCCTACCCGTGTGCCATGTTCAGCATCTGGGATCGAGGGGAGGGGTCTCCTAGATGACCTTGTGTTTGCCAGCTGTCCTTTGGTTTATTTCCAAAGGACCCCATTTATTATCACCCCGCAGGACAGCCTACAGGTCCAAGGCTGGCCCCAAGCCTCCTTCCAAGGGTGGGGGCAGCAAGAGAAGGAGGTGGCTCAGGTGGCCCCAGTCCTTGCCCAGGAACCTCCTGAGCTGTGGTCCTGCTGCTGCCGGCAGCTGTGCACCAAGCGGCCTCCGGAGGGACGGGACCACGGCCTGCTCTCCCTGGGGCAGGCGCTGCCCAGGACCCTGGTCACCCCACGGGAGGGAGGTGCTTGCCTGTGGATTGCAAGTCCTGTTCCTGTGGACACTTCGTGGGAACGGAAACAAAGAGGGCTGGAAGTGGGAGGGGAAATGGATTATTTGACGTTCCCTAAGAGAGGACCTGACCTGGGGGAGGCTTTGACAAAGTACATGCCCTGGCCTCTGCTGCCATGCCCAGCCCTGCTGCCGGCCTCACCTGCACTATCTCCCTGAATTCTTGCAACAGTCCTCTAAGTTCAGTCTCCCTAGTTTTCCCATCTTAAGGGTGAGGAAATGGCCATGAACATTTGAAGCATGCTGAAAACCCACATCCACCCAGAACCTCAGAATGTGACCTTACTTGGAAGTGGGACTTTGCAGGTGGATTTGTAAGATGAGACCATTCTGCAATGGGGTGGGGCCTACCGCCAATACAGATGGTGTCCCTGTAAGTAGAGGAGAGGGCACACACACAGACACAGACACAGAGACACACAGTCACATACACAGACACTCACAGACACTCACAGAGAGACACACACACAGACAGACACAGAGACACAGACACACACACAGACACTCACAGAGAGACACACACACAGACACAGACACAGACACTCACAGAGAGACACACACAGACACATACACACTCACAGAGAGACACACAGTCACATACACAGACACTCACAGAGAGACACACACAGACACACACA